TTAAAATAAGTTCTTACATTTATTATTTACAATATAGTTGGTTACATTAATTAAAAATTGTATTTATTGCAAAGTTTGATGGCTTATATGATTAAAATATATATAGATGATAAATATCTTTATAAAAAACAAACTGATTTTTAATAAATAAATTGTTGAATTTTAATCGTATATAATTGCGAAAAATCGGATAATTGCGAAATTTTTAAATATTTCGGTCCCAAGCTTTCGCAATTAAACGGTTTTGACTGTATCATGTGGTATAATGGTATACTTTGATATAGTGTCGACTTGCATAGTTGTAGTAACATCATTTAATTTCAAAGTAGTCATAAAAGCACTGTCATCACCTTTGTCTGTATTTTCAACCTATGTTGTTGACGTTGAAATCATTCATTATTGTCTTTGGCAGTGTCGACTTTTTTTCCCCAACTTCTTCAATGTTCATATTACAATTATTGTTATCATAGCAATTTTGATTATCATACTGGATTTGTTTTCTTTGATTAAAATTTTTCCACAATTACGATCGTCATGTTCGATTAGTTTTATTTGGTTATCATTATCTTGACACCTTTTGTTTCCTTCATAATTATTTGAATTATTATTATAAGATCGGTAAATTATGATTTTGTTCGTCACATTGAATCTGTCTCCTCTGATTACAATTACATCAGGCGTTGTTCCTACCGTAGTTGTTGTTATAAGATTATGAAAGTTTCTAAAGTTGCTATTGTTATACCGATAATTGTAATTTTGATAGTTGCCATCATTATACTGATTATTTCTATAATTATTATTGTTTCTATTATTACTAAAATTCCTATTCTTGTTGTCATTAACATTACTAAAATTGACCATAATTCCTACTAATGTCAAAATTTTGACTCGTATTATAATTCTATTATAGTTAGTAATATTCTCATTCCTATTAGAAGTATTTTGGTTATCTAAATTTATCATTATTTCTATTATTATCATTATAGTTTTTTATCCCTACTAAAAACATAATTAACATTGTCACTTTCTGATTTTTAATACTATCTAATTTTTGTCCTATTTTAATCATTTCGTCTAATGTATAGTTAATATTTTTATTTAATTTATTTTTTATATTGTCGTTTAAACTAGATGTTCTCAATTTTTCTTTTATGAGATCATCATATAAAATTACATTCTCTATTCAACTTAGAAAGTCTAAAAAATCCAATCCATAAAATATTCCTTAACGCCTTGTGATGCAAGGTTAAATTTGCTAGTTAATATCCAAATATCTTGACTAGACATAAGGTATTTTAATTTTTTAAAGACAACTCTATAATTTGATATCTCCTTAGTACATAATGATTTGATTTTATCGTATAGGTCATCAGATAAATTGCTCATCAATGTTTCAATTTTTACTGAATCGGACAAAATTGTTTGAGAAAAATAATCATCAAATCTCTCCAAGTAAGTGTCAGTCAAACGCCCCTCCAGTTTTGGGAACTTAACCTCCCTGGTAGATGATACACTAACTTTTTCGTCCATATTTATGCAAACTTTTTTTAAAAAGGTCTATTTATAAGCATTGACATTATAAAGTCATATGATTATATATTCAATTTTTTTTTTACTTTGTGTGTGTCCTTTTATATTTTTTATAATTTATTACATAATTTAATTCCAAAATTTTTATTTTTTATAATTATCGGCATCGCACAATATATATGAGATTTTTTTTATATATCATTGTATATGAATAACCATACCGGGGCACCATAGAAGAATTTAAAAATTTTATTATATTTTTTTAAAAAAAAGAATTAAACTAACTAATAAATTATAAAAAATAAGGTATATATATATATTATATTAAAAAACAATTTAAATAAAAATAAGGTTACAGGTTAAAATAATAGTAAGTTTCCTCAACATATGAAATAAGGTTATATTCAAATAATACCAATTAAAGTTATATAAAATATCAATACAAATTTAATCATTTTCCAAGATTTCTTAGTGTTAATGGCGTCTCCAGCTGATTTCAATTGATACATGCTTAAAAATGCATTTTAATGAATGAATTGTCAGTCTAGGTATTATTATTATATGTCATTGCGCCAACCCAAGAAATCAGCCAGGTTTTGCAGACAACAACTTCTACAACTTCCCCTTGCTGAACTCGCGGGTGCTAAGCTAATCGACGGGTCATTGCAATCTCCCTTTAAGCGGGCGGTCGCAGGCGAAGCTTCAGGCCTAAGCTCTACCAAAATCCGCAATAATGAAGGCCTGTACTTCCGACAAATTCATCTAGAAGCACCTACTGGTTGTTAGCTCGCTTCTCAAACCAGGAATAATCAAACCTGCGAACAGCGATCAGATCTGTTCCATGCTTTACTTCATCAACAAGTAGGATGGGTCCCCAAGAGTTATTATCGACTTTTCGGAGGCTTCCAAGAAGTTCCTTCGATACCCTTTCCGACTCAAGTCGATTCCATTGATGTCTTCTAATTTGGAAAAAGCTAGGTAAGCCTGTAATATCGATATAAAATTAGTTTTCCTCAGTATCCCGTTAGCATCTCAAGTTAGGAGGTTTTTCGGTATATGGTTCAAAGTAAACGCGTACAAGTACAAAGTACTGCCCATAGGTGCTCTTAACCCGTACTATCTCTAAAGCATCATCCGTTCGAAAAGAATCATACAACGTATATTTAGACAATATTTTAATATACGGGGACAACGGCTTCGACTTAAAATAGTTCAAATCTCCCCGTTACACCTTGAAGGATAGGGTCTATCGCCACATCCACTCTTATAAACTCCTCTATGTGATTCAAACTCAGTGTTTTTCTGAGATTATGACTTCCTAGTCCTACTACTAAGATTATTTGTTATATAACCTTCATCTGCATATCTACAATCCTCCTTACTTTGATTCTCATTAACAATATTGCATGAAATTTCTAAAATATAAATTACTTGTTGTTTCCGGTGTTCCAATTAGTGTTGTTAAACGGTTCCATTTGAGCTAATTTTTAAAAACGGCTAACTCAATGCTTCACTCAGAAAAATATTAGACAAGCCTGAAAATTTTTCTCATAGAAGGAACAGAGGTTTATACATATATTATCGAAATCTCGAGGCTTAGGCAATATTTTTCTGGCCAAAATATTGAGTTAGCCGTTTTTAAAAATCGGCTCAAAACAAGCCATTTAACAACACTAGTTCCAATGTAGGACCATGAATGATTAAATTTTAACACAAATAAATATGACAACAAAAAATTCTATAATGTAGTCTAACTAAACAATATAAAAGAATTTTAAAAAAATAGTATTTTGTTTTTTACCATTTTTTAAAAATAAGTAACAATTCAATTTAAATAACAATGTTATTTAGAAAAAACAACGCTAAGCGTTTGTATTCAATTTGTAAGCACTTTTACTCAATTTTTTTAATAAAGTGGAATTAAATTAAATTGGGGTTTTTTTAAAAATAAATAAAATAAAAAAATATTCCAGATCAAGAAAATAAAGTTCCGATATCGGGATGTCGGGCAAAAATAGGTTAATTATTTATTATTTACCTTTACAGTTTACATATTTTATGCATTTTAGCTGGATGACAGGTTTCTAAATTTTTTTGGCATAAGAGTTCTATATAGGCATCAACATCAAATGAAAGATAATTCAAACAATTCGAGCGCCAAATCGTCACACTAGCCCTCAAGTCTATGTCATGAAGGGGGTGGACTAAAAACATTTTCTAAAACTTAAGGGTATTTAAATGAAAGATAATAAGAAGTTATTATAAAAGTGTAGGAGTCTTTTTCAATTTTTTAAATTGTTTCAAATTGAGAACAAACAGTAAACGAATAATAAAAATTTTTTCTGCCCAAACATAGACATGCCATATTCTAAAAGTAAGTTTGCGAGATTTTCAATGATTAAAATGTTAAAAAGCGGGATTATGCGCGACAATGGTAATCACTTTTTATATACGAATATTTGGTGAATTTTTAACTCTTTGAAATATAAAAATTAAATGCGAATTTACAAATCTATAGTAAGAATTAAATTTATTTAAAAGTTTATTATACATGAAAAATTATATGAACTCTTCGCAATTCATGTCAAAATTTTGCTCTGCCCCTTAAATTAATTGAAACCGAAGAACGATTTTTTCTCCAAGTCATATTTATTACACTAAAAATTATCTCTGAGGGCTCATTTTAATATGGAGTTAAAAATATATAATTACATATTTTTAAGTTTATTGTTAGATTAGGGTTTTAAAATTTCATCATTTTTTTGATGCTCACGATATTAAATTCGCTATAATATCTTCGAGACATATGTTTCGCTAAATGGTTTTCACTAAATTATTTTAGCAACATAGGTTTCGAGACAATGACGCTATAAAATTTTCGCCTATTGATTCGTGTAGCTTCGTAGTAATGTATTCACTTTAAAAGCTTTGCGATAAGGATTTCGCTATAAAAAAATCACGATTGTCTTCGCAGAATAGTATGCGATAAATGTTTTGCTATAACATCCATTCGCGATAAACGACATCCGCAATAATGTTTTGAAAAAGGGCTTCGAGATAAAAGTTTCACTGAATTGGCATGAAATCATAATATTCGCAGAGGCCCGGTATTATAAATAACACTCTCTAACGGAAAAACTAATATTAACTAACGCTATTAAAATTGACTGAGAAAACTATTTTTAATTAGAACGTTGAAATTATAATTTTAAAAGAAAACCAATTAATATCATTAATTGAACTCCATGACATGGAACCATAATATAAGGCGCAGTGGCTCGTTCTTATAGGAATAGAACTATTTAACGGAGAACCTAATGTTAACTAAAGCTGTTAAAATTGTAGAATAAACGTTTTATCCATATTTAAAAAGTTGAAATTACAATCTTTAATTCAACTCCAAATAGTGAAAACGAGTTCTGCCCATAACAAGAATGAATATAAATAAGCAAAAAAAAGCAATAATTTATTGGAGATAAAGGGGTTTGAACCCTTGACATTCCGCATGCGAAGCGGACGCTCTACCACTGAGCTATATCCCCTAAAAACAAAAAAATGAAATAATATTTTATAATCTTTAAAATTGAAATTTATTTAATACTTTTACAAGCGGTATTAAATATTTAAATTGAATGTATGGGCGATTTATTTTCCAAACTGAGTGGAAAAAGACGTACCAAGATAACGGAACATGACATCATTGTTTTGGTAAAATATATATTTCTATCCTTAAAAATATATAGTTGTAGATTTTTATATATTTTATTAAAAATGAGATGAGAAATACCACTATTTATAGATAGATAATAAATCTTTCTATTGTAAAATAATTGATTTTTTTGATATGGTGACGATTTTTTTTTTTTAGTTTTAACACATTTACACCATCTATAATATTATGTTTATACCAATCTACCAAAATTTGCCTGGGATTTAATATTGTTTTATGATCTTACCTGAAATAAATTCCAGCATCATGGAGTACCTACCCTGTATAAATTTGTCATATTTTCTTTGTAATTTATATGAATTAAGATTAGCTTAAAGATTGGCAAAATATGCAAGACAGGGACATGCTGATGCTTAAAACTGAAATTTGAATCACTTTGTGGGTAATATGGAATAATGCTTATTCCAGATAAACATATCATGTATATGATATTTATGTATAATTGCACATTTCAAGGGCTATTATCTCCTAAATTACTTTATTTGCTTAATTTTTAATAATATAGAACAACATTTAATTAATCAATGCACCTGATAACTATACAGATTCCAAATTTCAGAGGTTTTATATGATTGAAACTTTTCAAATCAAATGAACAGAACTGAATCAGAGATATCTAAATTTTTTTAATTTTTAAGTGTATGATTATCTATTCTGCAACATGTAGTATTAAATCATAAAAAGTAGATAGATATTGGCTGGATCTTTCTATATTGCAGGTTTTTGGTTTAGACTACTTGTGCAAAATGGCCTGGCCTGAAGCTCTCTAATATTTAAGCCTTGAATTAGACAATTTTACATGTTTTCTCATTATATTTATAATGGGCCATGCCAGACATCCTTTGTAAAATTTTTTATGGAATTGGCCAAAAAATTCTATGTGTGAACTCATACCAACTTCTTATATGACAATACCAATTTTTTTAACCTGATATTAACAGTGTTGGTCAATACCACCAAAATAAAACACTGACTCTAGGCTAAAAATCAATTAATTTATGAAAGTTAAATATTTGAGTATCAGCAAAAGAATAGGTTTATCAATACAAATACTTAGTGCATCTTTAATAAACATGCTAAATTATATTTATTCCATATTTAAAGCAAATGAAAAGGCAGCGCGATAATCTACATCAATACAGAATGCGCTTGGAAAATAATATGGAGAAGGAGAGACGAATGGCAAAAAAGTTATTATCTGAAGGAAGGAGAGAGTTACTTTTTTTTATAAATATTTTTATTTTTTTGATATCTACTAGAAAAGCTAAATTGTTGTTAAAGAAAAAACGGTTTCAAGAAAATTTATTGGAAAAGAACGAAAATATATTAGACCAAGTTGAAACTATGGTAATAAATAATGTTCATTATAAATTTTAACATTCTTATAAACAATAATTATTTAAACAAATCCACTAGATATATAATATTGAATTTTCCAATATACAAACTGAAGTTGTCCATAACCTTAAATTAGGAAATGATTGCTTGAAGCAATTGAATCAGGTATATATATATATAATTATTACTAAATTCATTGATGTGTTTGATTGTTTAGCTATTTTCGATTGATGATATAGAAAAAATAATGGAAGAAACTAGAGAGGGTGCTGAGTATCAAAAGGTAATATTTTTTTTCCCCTATATCAAATGACAAGCATACTTTTAATTTTACACTATGTCACAATACTGAAGCAAATTGAAGGTATTATATCCTTAAATTTTACCCAAGAAGATGAAAATGATGTCCTGAAGGAATTGAATGAAATTTTGGATCAAACAAATTTGGTAAAAAAAATAAATAATATATTACAAAGGGATTTTGGAATCACTCATTTTTATATCATTTTACTGATAGCAATTTTTAAATAAAAAATATATTTGATTTTATAAAAAATATATTCCAGAAATTACATACCCTGTGAATTTCAGGAAATTTTATTGTGTACTTTTGAACAATTTATATTGTTATATAGATCAGATTTGTATAATTTAAAAAAAAATACATAAAGGTCCATAGCTTATTGCCTGAAATTCATATCTTAGGTTAGAGGGTCTAAAATATTATTAAATTTTTTAATATAACCCCTTTCTGTTCATTTTTCCCAAAAAATATTTTAAAACCTCCCCATCATTTTATGAGTGGGTGGATTATTTGGCTGCACACCTCTAGGGTAGAATACTCTACACATTCTTTTATATATTTCTTGTAATATCAGATTTTTCAAGTTTAAACATTGCCCTAAATAATTGTTTCAATCATATAAATCTCTTTAAAGTTACAACGAGATCTGATTCTAAAGCTTAATTAATAAAATTATTTGTTCTTATAATATGCTTATTTAAATATATTATTTTTTAAATTTTTCATATTTTAAGGTGCTACCCGATGTACCTAAAGAACCTCTTATTAAAGATAAAATACGTAAGAACGATTGCTTATTATTTACTATTTATATATACTTTTTTGTACTTCAAAAAAAATTAGCAATCAAGAGCCCATTCAAACAAAAAATTCCTCTACAAGCTTGAATGGAACAATTTTTAACATTTGTTTTGCTAAATTTTATATACTATAAATAATTGTGATAAAAAAAAATTATTTTTGATATTTTATAATTGAATCGTGAATAACATTTTGATCGAATTCTAATATAAGATGAAAGAGGTTTATATAATAATAAAAATAAATAATGCCATTATTTTAAAAGTTCATAAACGTATTTAAAATTTGGATTTTTGTTGCAGTTATTGAACCATTGATTCCAGGTAATGATTGACGTCAATTTCGTAATTTTATCATTTTTCTGTGTCAGCTCAAACATCAACCCCCAGATTAAAACATCGGCTAAGGTCAATTTTTCGTTGAAAAGATAAAGAACGTTTTCCCTGGGTTTAACATAATCGTTAAAAATAGTCCCAAGCACGTTTTCGGAAGCTTCGTCTTTAAAACTTGGACACCTATTTTTGCATTCTGGCATAGACATTTCGATACGAATAAACATCTCGCAGATTAAATCAATCAAAATGGCTTGACTCTTTGGGAATTAAATATGATTAGTAAAAAATTACATTCAAAACAGTTCTCTTTTCCTACTTTTTGTTAGCTCTAATTTATTTTTGACGAGACTGTCCAAAAATAGATTTGTGCAAAAGGAAAGTAGGAATTTAAAAAAAAAGTTTGGACTGAGTAATATAAATAAAAAAAATTAAAAGTTTACTTCGGATATTTGGCTATGATTATTTGTTTGCCTCCATAATAATTTGCACGCATTCACTCCGCCCTCAATTTTACATGAGTTTTGATAAATTATTGGATTGAAACAATCTTTAGATTTTTTTTTTTAAAATCAAAGAAAATATTATATTTAATCTGTGTATCAATTAAATACAATGACATGTCTTTGATTAAATAATATTATTCCTATTAATCAAATTGTAAAAATATAGCAGGATTTTTTAGGATAATTTATATAAATATTTATTAATACAACCTCATTTATGCTGAAAGGGTCAGAGTTAAAAATAAAACTAATTACAGCAAAACTTTGGAGCACTATGAAAGATCAATTTCTTAATAATTGAACTATTTTATCAATAAAACAAAATTTATTTAATTAAATCAGTGATCTTCATGGGCCAGGCAAGTATGAGGCCCATTGGGCAAGATAATCATCTTGCAGTGTAATTTCTTTAATATTATCTATCTGAATCATAACTATAATCTGTGTAGATATTTTAAATGATTTACACCAGTAGGTTTGGATTCATAATATTTTTTTTAGCATTCACCTTTTCTGGTGGTAAGCTCCTTCAATATCTCTCTCCACTTTATGTTATTCATGCTATCCCTTTTTTCTAATTTATACTTTTTCATATTGGCTCTAACTTTATGGCCCCATTGAAGTTTTGGCCTTCCTCTTTCACGTTTGCCCATCACTTCCAAACTCTCAACTTTTTCCTATATAGTTCATTCATAGGCCTTCTCAATGTGTGCCCATACCACCTAAGTCTGTTCACCATTAAGGCAATAACTTTAAACTTCCTAGTATTCTTGCACTTCGCACCTCATCCTTTCATGATACCCCAGCAATCATCCTCAGCATTCTCATCTCCATAGTTTGTAGACTTCTCTCGTCTGATTCTTTGGTTGGCCATGTTTCCGAACTATATTGAATAGTTGGTTGTACTACGGAGCTGTAAATTTTTCCCTTCAATTTGTGTGGGATTCTTTTGTCAAAGAGCACTCCAGATAAAGATCTCCACTTTAACCATCCTTGATTAATTTTATTCTTTATCTCTTTCTCTATTGTGCCGTTTGTTTGTATAGTGGAGCCCAAATATTTGCAGCTTTCAATTGCCGATATTTGCCATTTATTTATATCAATTATTTCTGTTTCATCTCCTATCACCATAAAGTTTAATTTTAGTCCATGCTTTTCGAGGATACTTATCCAACTCACTAATCGTTCTTTCATTTTATCCTTGAATTCGGCTAGTATCACAATATCATCTGCAAATATCTATCATATTCCACGGGAGTGTTTCCTGTATAGACTGTGATAATACATCTATTACTGTGATGAAGAGAAGTGAACTGAGAGCCGACCCTTGATGAACTCCTTCGGCTATTGTGAAGCTTGTTGAAGTACCAGTTGTGCTACAGACCATATCCTGTATTATTCTTATATATTTTTTGGGAACCTATTTGTGGCGTAGCGCCCACCAGATAAGTTTTCTTAGGATACTATCGAAGGCTTTTTTTATATCGAGAAAGACCATGTGTAGCTTTTTGTTCTTTTCCTTGTATTTTTCGCTAATTTGCCTAATTGCGTGAAGTGCATCAGTCGTTGATCTTCCAGGCATAAAGTCAAACCTTTCCTATGATTTTTTCGTAAAGTTTAAGACAGTGTGACATTAGTTTTATGCTCCTATAATTTTGACAATTAGGTGGATCCCCTTTATTTTTGAAGATAGTAACTAGATAGCTGAGCCTCCATTTTTGAGGAATCTCTTCGTTTCCCAGTATTTTATTGTACAGATTCGTGAGGAAATGTATTCCATCATCTCTTAGTACTTTAAGGTTTTCTATTGAAATATCATCAGGACCCCTAGCTTTGTTTTTCAAATGCTTGAGGCATGTGATTATTTCTTGTTCCGTTATTGGTTGAATAAGGTTTGAGTTTTCATCTAGATGTAGTATGTTGGGATTAAAGTTGAGAAGCTCCTGAATATACTTTATTTTTGATTACTTTCGGAGCTCCGTTTATACCCCTAGAATTCTTTTCTCGCTGTTTGGCTAATCAGTATACTTTATTTTTCCTCTCCTTAGTATGTAGTTCTTGGTATTCGTATTCCAACCGCCTTTATAGCTATTCTCTTGGATTTTTGTATTTTGTCTTGTCTTCTGGGTTTTTGGATTAGGGCTCTTTTTTCATGTATAGTGGCGTGCACATCTTCATTCCACCACCATAGTTCTTTGTATGATTTGTTACCTCATCTTGTCATGCTTAGTGTTGGCAGTGTCTATTAATCTGGATGAAAGGTCTGTCCACATTTTTTTCACTGACTTGTGAGGAATCTATTGTTTCAATGTTTGAATTGATTACAAAGGCATCTGCCATTGATTTTAATCTACCCCATTTGATGCATATTTCTAGTTTTATCTTGTTTTGAGTGGATTTATTTGTGAGGTGTAAATCCATGACTAGTAACTTGTGTTGCGCGGCAATATCTTCTTCTGGGATGACTTTGCAGTCTATTACACCTTTTAATCTTCTTCGAGAGATTAGCATGTAATCTATCTGGGTTTTCCTTGTACCTCTTTCATATGTTATTAAATGACTGTCCTTTTTCTTATAGTAGGTGTTGGTTAAGGCAAGGTCGAAGGCTTGCGCAAATTTCAGTACATGTTCTCCTTCATCATTTTTTTCTCCATATCCAAAACCACCATGATACCTTTTGTAGGTGTTTCTTGTTTTTCCCATATGCGCATTTAAGTCTCCAACTATTATGATTAGGTCATAGGGATTTCCATTACAGCTTCATCAAGGATAGCTCTAAAGTCATCTTTCTCTTCTTCTTTGCAACTCATTTGAGGAGCATATACTGAAAGAATGTGTAGTATTGATTGACCAATGCAGAGTTTTATTTTTATTAGTCTATCAAAGATCCTATTAACTTCTACCACTGAGGAGGAGATCTTGATTGAGGATGATGCCGACACCATTCCTATTCCATTATAGTACAATTTATACCCATCTCCAATCATTAGTCTTCTGACCTTTCCATTTCGTCTCTTGTATGCATGCTATATCAACTTTTCTCTTGTTCAACATGGATGCCAATTCTCTCGTCTTACCTTTAAGTGTACCAATATTCAAGCTTACTAACCTTGTTTTCTTTGCTTTGATCTTTATTTTACTTTTCACAGGATGGAGGTCTACACCCTGTGCGTCGCTTGGAGGGAACGCCCTAGCTTTCATATTCCTATTTTTGTTTGTCATTTGTTTATTGGACAAGTATCCTTAGAACCCGGCTGTCCAAGCCTGTCAGTGACCGGGGTGTCATCTCTAAGCTCAGAAATTCATCTTACCATATGTCTTTACACATCAGTCATCGAAGAAAAACCTGAAAATTTTTATGGGACCTTCTGTTTCCAAGCATACATCATAACCCACTAGGCCACCCTGGCGATTGGATTTATAATATAAATTTCAAAATTAAATAATAAAATTCCAAAATTATTATGATTAATAATTAATCATAAAATGACATATAAAATTTTTATGTTTAGTTATATTCTTTATATTTAACAAGTAGTGTGCTTGGCTATTTTTAAATAGTAGTGTGATAAAACTGGCTATTTGGCAAAAAAAGTAGCACACTACTAATAAAAAAGCACAACTTTAACCACTCTGATTAGTAAGTTATAATTAAGGATTAGATCAGGTACATTTAGATGACACATTATTGTTTATTTTTGCCTAATGTGGTATCTGTAACTTTTAAAGTATCTATATTTAGATATTATTTTAGACAGGGATGTGAATCCTTCTAAAGAAAAAGATTCAGTAATATCTCTGAACCAGATTTGATTTAAGATAAATATTTACAAGAACACACAAATTTGCAATAGGAGAGGGGGGGGGGAATTTGGCGTTTGAAACAATAATAAAGATTCATAACATATATATTACAAAAAAACCTTACCTAAAATTTAAAAAAATGTTTTTATATTCAAAATTTAAAAAAATTATAATTTACAGGATTTTTTTAATTTTAATTTTTATTATATTCTTTAAAATAAATTTTAAAAAAGAAATTATTGAACCCTGAACTCTATGTTTTAAAAAATGGTTCTGTGGGTTCAGTAAAATATCAAGGATTCGCAGAGTTCTAACTGAGGGTTAGGTTTCATGGCCCTGAATTTAAAGGTATCCAACATTTTATATAATTTTATTTTAAGTTTATAAAAATTAATTATAATAATATTTGGATTAAACTCATGAAATAATATGCTCAAGTTTAATTCATAAGAAATTTAGCACAAATAAACCAGACAAATTTTATGAATGGATGGCATCAATTTTGTGAATGTTTTATATTTAAAATCTAATAATTATTATTTATCATCATATAATTATATATTTTGTATATTTATGGTCAATATATAACGATTATTATTTGTTATTTAATCATATACTTTGTATATAGAGTCATTCCATGTCAAATGAGCAAAAAAATGAGATTTTCGGATGGCCCCCTTCGATTTTTTTAAAATTTGGCAAGCAAAGAAAGATTAGTGTAGTTAAGAAATAGCTAAAATTTTAGCCTTAACATTTATATTTTTGGAGATATTAGTGTTCAAAGTGGCAAAAATGACGTATTTTTACCATTATTTGCCTTCATTCAATTAAGCATATCTTAAAAACTACATAATTGGAAATAACAAATTTAATATCAAAATTACATACAAGGATTCTACTTTTAGATAAAAAATTTTTTTTATTTTTTTCCCAATTTCCGGCCATTTTATTTGTAAATCAAGGACTAATAAAGATTTTTTGGAAATAATAGAACCTTCAATTTTTTTAAAAAAATTTAGTAGACATTACTAAACTCTTCCTTTATATTTATAAAAAAATTTGTTCTGGGACGCGGCCATCTTCATTCTCAAAATCGTTTAAAATGTTTAGAAAAGTGTATAAATATTTTCCCGAAAAGGGACGTCTTTGTATAAAATTATATATTAATTAATTTTTAATGGTTTTTCTTGAACTATTTAATATAATTTAAAGGATTATTCATCTTTTATATGAAAACTTTCATTCAATTATAGAAATTATAAAATAAAATAATATGGGCAAATGTGATAATTGACCAGGGTCAATACATATACGCGATCAAATAGAAATAATGTTTCTTTCTAAGGACATCAAATTTATAACATAAAACAATGGCTATCCGTAGATAGAACCACTCTTGAAACAATAACCAAGCCAGTAGATGAATTTATCAATGCCTTTTTTGAAAAATTGGAATCTTTATTACCCCATTCTTTTATTTCAACGCAACAATTGTTGTATCAAAACAATCTAAAATTGAACTTAGACGAAGGCCAATATTTAATTTTATGTGATTTTTCAGAAAACTATTGCTTTATACTTCAGGGTGAAGTACAAAGTTATCATTGGAATAGGACTCAATCCACTATTCACCCTTTTATATATTATAAAGATAATTTTGCCAATTTGTTACCTAAATTATGTAATGATACCCGAATCTTTACAAACAATACATTAGCAGTACATTATTTCCAAAAAAACATTTGTAAATTTTTTAATTAATAAAATTTATATGCCAAATAAAAATTTTAATTTTTCCGATAGATTCCGTTGCACAGTATAAAAATCGTAAAAATTTTATTAATATTTGCCATCATGAGATGGATTTCGGCATTTATCTGCTACAACACAAGGGAAAAGTGTTTGTGATGGGATTGGTGGCACTGTTAAAAGATTAGCCACTAGAGCTAGTTTACAAAGGCCTTACTCAAAGCAAATAACCACATCATATGAATTATTGTACGAGTTTGCTAAAGAAAATATTAATGGTATATATTTTGAATATATGACCCAAAAAATTATGATTACGAAGAACTATTCGAGGAAAGATATTCAAAAACTAGACCTATACCTGAAACACAGAAAATTCACACCGTACAGGTCTACATCAATTTAAAAGTAAAATGTATTCCAATTCAATAGAAAGCACTATAGAATATTTATCATATAATGATGAAAGTATAATTTTTGGAGAAATATCATGATACATAACATGTGTTTATGATTCTAATTGATGGTTGGCCTTTGTTTTAGTGAAAAATCAAAAGCAGGAAGAAATATATATAAATATTTTACACCCATATGGACCTTCTAACCTTTACATTTCCAAGTATAGACGACACTCTTTACTTTCCAAAATGTCATATCTTAACATTAGTTTCACTGTTAACTGCTACTGGCCATAGTTATACATTGTCATCACAAGAAAGTAAATGCTCTACCTAAAAATTAGAATCTTCTAAAAGTGAGTTATATATTAGATATTTAAATTTATATTATATCAATTATTTTTAATATTTAGGCCATATATGAAATGCACAAGATTCTGATTCATATATTCAAGAACTATAAACTTGGTTGAATATATTTAATAATAATAATTAAATATATGTTATATAAAAATTTTTATAATAAATTACAAATAAAGTAATAAAATGAATTTCTTTTATTGATAGACAACTATAATTGAATGAAAGCCCCATTTATTGTTATTTTCATTTACAAGATGAATAATCCTTTAAATTATATTAAATAGTTCAAGAAAAACCATTAAAACTGATTAATATATAATGTATACAAAGACGCCTTCGGGAAAATATTTATACACTTTTCTAAACATTTTAGTCAATTTTGAGAATGAAGATGGCCGCATCCCAGACCAATTTTTTTTATAAATATAAAGGAAGAGTTAGTAATGTCTACTAAATTTTTTAAAAAAATTGAAGGTCGTATTATTTACAAAAAATCGTTTTTAGTCCTTGCATGTTAAATAAAATGGCAGGAAATTTTTATCTAAAAGTAGAATCTTTGTATGTATTTTTTATATTAAATTTGTTATTTACAATTATGTAGAGATATGCTTAATTGAATGAAGGCAGATAATGGTAAAAATAGGTCATTTTTGCCACTTTGTACCCTAATATCTCCAAAAATATAAAAGTTACAAGGCTATTTCTTAACTAAACTAACCTTTCTTTGCTTACCAAATTCTAAAAAAATCGAAGGGGGTCAGCTGAATCATGGTTGATTTGTCATGGAATGACCCATTACCCGTTATTAAAATTTAATAACAAATATTTATCATCTAATTATATCTTTTTAAATAGGTGATATAATAAATTCAAAAATATTTTTAGCTCACTTCATAATTTGATTAACAATATAATCAATTATGTATTATACCTCATATAATTATGGTAAAAATTCCATTCATAAAGCTTGTATGGTATCAATTTACAGATACATTTGTTATATTTAGATACTGATAGATTTTAGATGATGTATCTTCTAAATCCATTTAAAAAGTGTCTAACAACTCTGCTAAAATCAATACATTTCTAATAATCAGTAAATATCAGATAAAATATTTAAATGATATTTAATATAAAATAAATAACATTTTAAGATATTTTATTCTTTTAACTTGTCAAAATGCAAACTACATCAAAATCAGTTTTTCTATCTGAGGGTGATAATACTTTGGTAAAATTTTTGAACAAACCATTATATTTCGAATTATTAAAGGATGAATGAACATAAGTAGTAATTGCCATTGAGTCATTTTTTGTAAGAAGATATAATAAAAATAATAATGAATATGAAGAATGATGTTGAGGATAAATATAAATAATTAACTTCTTTATAAAAATCTAGGAACAAAATATGTAAAATTTTAGTTAACAATTTACATTCTTCTGATTAGCAATATCTGGATAAAGACTTTGCTTGATCTCTGCAATTTGTTTTAGAACTTGTTTTTGATTTAATATAATTTTTTCAATCCTTCTGTCAAGAATATCAAATTCATTAATTTTATCCTTTAGAAATTGTTAATAAAAATTATGATTATAAAAATATACCACAATTAAATTTACGTCATATATATTTTTTAATTTATATACACATTCAGGAATAAATATTTGAAAATTTGTAATATAAGGTTGTAAAACATACATGCTTGGCTTGTAATCGTAACCAAATGTGTTTAAATAATATATGGCGCTTTATCGAATTATTGGGATGAAATATATTAAAAATCTAAAAAAAGCAATATTTATGAATCAATAATTGAGAAAATTTTGTTTCCTGTGCTTAGCTTTATTTAATTTCTTTTATATCGAACCTAGTTTTAGACAATTCTTAAATTCAAATTTTTTTTGGTAGTTGCTATCCGGACTTTATATTAATAATAGGGCGTCGTTTTAAACCTGGTAAGTGTAGCATGGTAATCACAAATGATGGCACAGAATCAGAGATAGTCATAAATCACAAATAGGGGTGAGTAACAAATAACGATGAATCACAAAGTATGAGATACTAAAATAAAAAATTAAATACAATATAGGTATGATGGGGATGGGGTAGAGTAGGTAAATTTTTTTTAAAAAAATAATAAGAAATATTTGCTAATATTATTCAAAATAGTAATTATTATATAGTATAATGTTTAAAATATAACTCCAAACCACTATTTCATGTCCATAATTTTATTTCCATATAATTCATAATATATATAATCTCACATGATACAAATTTTAATCCTGAATACAAAGTGGCGCGATTGCGATTGCGATTTAGACGCGATAAATACAAAATACAGTTAATATCATATCGCATTCATAGTTACCGATCGCGCGATTTGAGCAATGACATTAATACTATAGACTGCCGATCGTAATGCTAAAATCAAATTTGAAGTGGCAAAAATTGAAGTGACTGGTGGCCATTTTGTGTTTGTATCTTTTACGAAAGAAGCATATGATAATTTCATAAATTTCAGGTATATTTTTATTATGTTTATATTTATAATATATATATATATTCTAATTAAACACCAATTTATTATTTACCTTATATATTATAGTATATATGAATCAAATAAAGGTCACTACTGAATATTTTACTTGAAATATTTCTGCTCTTTATTAACATTTGCAATTTATTATTTAATAATGAATATCTTTTATAAGAATTCAATTTAATATTTTTTAATTACTAAAAGATTTAAAATGGTAGTATATTGCTGAGGAAGCAAAATTTCCTTTCATAAGTATGATATATCAAATTAAATTGTAAAAATTATTTATGGCAGATTTCCTATGAAAGATAAAATATTATTACAAAAGTGGACCCATGCTGTGAAGAGAGAGAACTTAATGTAACAAAATATAGTAAATTATGTTCAAAGCATTTTACACCAGATTCATTTATTCCATCTGTTACAAATCATGTTCAATTAAGAGAGGAAGCAATACCATCAATTTTTAATTTTCCAAAGCATCTTCTAAAAGTAATAAAATAATGAATAATAAATTATAACATGCAGGTTTCCTAGAAGCCATATTAATTCAAAAATACATTAATATTTTTTTTTATAGAAATCAATTCTAGATTTCTTTTGTATTTTTATAATTTATGTCTTATGTCTTTTATGTTTTATTTTTGCTTATAATTATGTTATTCCTTAATAAATATAAACTATCCCTTTCTAAATATATTTCTTTATTTAAATTTAATTCACTAAAGTATAAAAATCAATAATGTAATATATATCATGAAAAATACAAATAATATATATTATGTTATATTTACATCAAATAAAATAATTGTATTATTATAATTAATATGTATCGCGAAAAGAAAATATTAATCTTATAAATCAATAATAAATAATAATATATATATGTTATATTTATGTCTAATAAAATTAATTTATTATAACCAATAAAGTCATTAGAAATTTTCAGATAATTTGTTCTTCACCTATAAATATTTAAGTTAAATAACATATTTTTATATTACTTGGTTTATTGCCCTTGAAAAACTACAGCCTTGTTTAGTTTTTGCCTGATATTTAATTGTAATTTTTGATTTACTTTATTACCAAAATGATGCATTCTTATGTGCAGGTATCTGAAAATAAATTTTTATTAAAATCAAGTAAATATTATATATACCTTTTTATTATAAGTCTTATTATAATTTGATAATGACTTAACCCTGCCTCTTGATCAAACATATGATCTTGCAGGTCACTAAGGATATTTGTGCCTAATATTTTTGACAATATTAGACATTCTATTTTTTTAACAGCATGTCTTTTGGTTATTTCATCTACTTTTTCAAAAGCCCTGAATGAGCTCTCTGTTATTTTGCATAAATTTGACACGCTTTGGGATGGTATTATCAATCCACCATAATTCTTAATTTTTATTAATGTATAATTATTGTCGTTTGCGGAATTATCAATTAGGGAATGTAAACAGATATCACATCTAACTTTCTATTCTTCATATTCAGTAGTGACCTTTATTATAAGGTAAATAATAAATTGGTGTGTAATTAGAATATATATATATATATTATAAATATAAACATAATAAAAATATACCTGAAATTTATGAAATTATCATATGGTTCTTTCGTAAAAGATACAAACACAAAATGGCCACCAGTCACTTCAATTTTTGCCACTTCAAATATATTAATCGGCAGTCTATAGTATTAATGTCATTGGATTTGAGTCGCAAAAGCTTGTCGCCGTGATTTTTTAAAAACACAAATCATTTTGTATTTATCGCATGATTTTAAAATATTGATTCGTAATACCTCTTTGGTGAATATAACACAAAACATTTTACATTTTTAAAAATTTTTTGTAGGTATCAAACCTATAAATCAAGATAAAATTATGATTTAAATAACAAAAGTCTTCATTAGATAAGGAAGGATAATTTATACTTCCAGATTTAACAGAGGTATCAATGAAATAACAGGGGATATAAATGAATGTAAAATATAGCATTTGAAATGGTAATATATTTATTTAAGCTGATTCATTGATATTATTATTTGGCTGATCTCATTAATAGTGACAATACATTGAATGATATAATTATTCCCAAAGCTCCTGCATTAATTGCTTGGATTGAAGGATCTATATCTTCTGTTGAATCTCGTAGTTCATATTATAAATGTCCTAAGATAAATTTTAATGACATTGGTAATTTTTGTTTATTATTGGCTTTATAAAAATACTTAAAATAAATGAATTTAATAAAATGAAGAGGAAAGAATTCTAGATGCTTAAAAATAAAAAAAACTGAATATGGCATATGTCTTGTATTGAGGAAAAAATTTGATCAATATGCAGGAAAATGATTTAACTAATCGAATATATGATGTTCTACACATTTTTTAATCATAATATTTTATAAATTAAATAAAATTATTTTGCATATATTTATTTGGAAATAAAATATATTTTCATATGTATTGCTACCTTATTTCTTTTTTTAAAATAAAATTACATACTATACAGTTTTTTAGTGACATATTCCTAATATATTTTATAATGAGTTTCTTCTTCTTCTACTCCATTTTATAAAGATTTCCATGTTTACCCAGGTATGCCAGTTTATCCTCTGATTTTTCTTTTCCATTTTTGACGATCCTGACCATAAATATTTGTAAGATTCATGCTTCTCATATCCGCCGCTATCACATCTGTCTACGTCATCTTTGCCTTCCTCTGGGTCTTAATCCCCCTACTTCCATCAAGATGCATCTCTTTACCCAGTTATCTTTTGTCATACGTTCCACATGCCCAAACTATTTTAGTCTAATTCGCTGTATTACCACTCCATTCATTTCTATACCCAATCTTGCTCGCAATTCCTAATTTCTCTCTCTCAGAGATACCCCACATATCCATCTAATCATCCTCATCACTGTTCTTTCTAATTTTGCTTCGTGAGTCACTTTCATTGTCCATGTTTCTCCGTTATTAACTAAATAACTCCTCACACAGCTTACGTAGCTTTATTAATCCTTTGCATCATTGATCAGACTTGATCATTATATCTTAAGTAGTGTTGTTAATAGGTTGGTTGTGTAAAACCGTGACCCGGGGTTTGGGTCTAAAAATCGACCCTGAGGACGAACCCGAGGCTCAGACCCGGGGTTTAGACCTATCGTTTAGACCCGGGGTTTAGATTAATGAAAAGTAAAAAAAATAAATCTCAATAACTAATCTTAAATCAAATCTTTACATTCTATAATTAAAGCTTTATTTATTATTTTATTATACATTAATCTCATCTCATTTTCTTACCATTTAATTTAAATATTTGTTTAAATTGGGGTGCTTTTGATTATTCACATATTGCGTTTTTTTATATTTTTAATTTGAAGTTGAAAGAAAATGTTGAAAATAAAAACTTCAGATAATTTAAATTTAATTAAATTTAGAACTATATAAAAAGTGTAAATTGATTTTGTATATTTTGACTTTAGAATAGGCAGGAGAAAAAGATGCATTTTAGAAATTAAACAAACCCGGCTAGAAAGTTTGCACCTCATTCTGAACTATGAGGGCATAGCGATACTAATTTATTAAGCCAGGGTATGCTGAAACACTTTTAAAAAAAGTTTCCATAGCCTATACCAAGCTTAAGATAGCATGATCATGACTGACTAATGATGTAATGGATCAATAAGCTATGAATCATTAACCATTAAGATCTAATGATAATCAACAGTACAATATCAATCAAGCTATGACTCATTAACCATATTTAATAATAATCAACAGTACAGTATAAATAAAGCTATGACCCGAATGCCATTAATGATAATCAACAGCTCAATGTCAATTATATATGGTCAAGAAAAATATGGAAATTATTGAAACAGAAGAAAGAAAATTTAATGAAAAATAATAATAATTTTTGATCATTTATTAGAATTTATGTATGACAACTTTTACGTTCCAAAAGGTGTAGGATCGGTAGTCTTAATAAGATCGGTTCCGATATTTTATTTCCTTTTTTTTTAACAAATCCCTATTTTTTTTAACCTGTTTTTTCTTTAATTTTCTTCTTATACAAAATACTAAATTCTAAATACTAAACTTTTCTTTATTTCTATTTTCAAAAAAAAAGCAATACTTTTACAAACTTTTTAAA